TGAAACTTTGCAGCTTAGGATACGCTATCTATTTTTGTCTAAATTTTCTAGTATCCAAGAATAACGTAAGAGTAGGATTTTACAAGAGAACCAAAGTATAGGAAGACTGGTTACCTATTCTAACTAGTTCCGTGCCTCATAATTAAATATTGTAGTAAACAGGAAATATCTTGGGTTCAAACCCCTAAGAAAAACGTTGAGTAGTTACGATCAGGAAGGCTAAGTATATTAAGATGATAATCAGAGTAGTGTCATAACACTTTCAGTAATAAAATTGGTGCATAACCGGGCATTGAATCCTTGACCTCGTGATGATAAATCAAAGGCATATAGTATTGAACGAAACAGCTTTTGCAGCACATTTAACATGCATAATTTTAACGTTGCATCGGAAATGACCACGTGGAGTATGTATATACATATCATAAGAACAATATTCTTTGACGGGCTAATAATCGGTTCGATTTACCACCGGGTCTAACATATGTCAATGAATTTATAATTTTTCTGTATCACATTGGACTTCGTCTGGAAATTCGGATATTACACGGGTGGTCGGAATAACTAAGCTCCGTCTGAGTCACGAACCACCACCCATAGATGATGGAAAGTTTAATCGCGATTCGGTTTCAGTCTGTGGATTCAAATATCAAAAGCTAAAATAGGCCGACAGCGCATCTTGGTTAGATGTGATATGACTGCGGTATTTCACCTACCATCGAGTGAACTCCATGTCTGTCTTTTTATATAATAAAAAATATTCAAATTTAGAATTAATAATAATTAGGTTAGATTATAGCATCTTAGATATTTTTATCTCGGCTCTGATTTCCCCACTCCGTGTCGTACAACCGCAAAATTCGTTATCAATTGACAATTAATTAGCTAACACCACACCATCTCGAGACGTCATTAATATAGACTAGTAAATGCGCTTGGCTGCGGAGGCGGTATAACAAAATTCCTTTTATATTAATTATTTCATCAAACTTGTTAAACAAGACGATTAAAAATTCGATGGCGGGCTTCGAACCAAACACTGGGACGCACTTCCATTACTTTTTTGTAAAACTTTAATATGTAAAAACAATTGTGGTTTTCACGGCCATCGTTCAGCATGTCATTGTCTTCCATTGGGCTTTTCGGCCGATGTGAGCGAGAAGAGGTTCTCGACGTTTCGCCCTCAAGTGTGGACGGCATCATCAGGAGATGTTAACTCCTCGATTGCTCGAAGACTTAGCAGCCCGAAAGACAATGATATGCTGTTTAATATGTATAATATATTTATTGAATATCAAAACGAGAAAACACTTTTTAATAATTCTTAGGTATTTAGTATATAAATAAGGTAAGAATTATATATAAGAAAATAAAGGTAACAAAACACATTTCTGTGTCCGTTTCACAGATCGGTTTTATGTGCAGGCGAGTAGTTGTTCAGACTTCTGTGTCCTGCTCGACCAAAACAATCTATTACTGCCCCAGGATTTGAACCCAGGTTCTCTCAGGTTTTACACAATGCTAGGCAACAAGTTTAAATATTTCTCTAGGGCGTCATGCATATACATAACTCATCTAATTGCAAAATGTACAAATCGATTACTGAAAACCACTGTGAATGGCTGTTTTTTAATTTATCTTTTATAATATTATATTATCTTTAAAATATACTTATTTATCTAACGTGTAAATTTGTTAAGTAATTTGACTTCGTGTTTTTTACCCAAATCGAAGTCACAGGTACAGCTAGTATGCTGACCTGTAGACCAATGCTGACCACAGCAATCCATCGGATTTATTAGCAAAATTGAATATCAAATACAGGAAAGTGTTAGTGTTACCATGGACCTAATCAGAAGTCCCAATTAATACTATCAGTATTTCATTTGTTCTGGAAATTCTATAATTGTGACACTGTTCCAAGTGATAATGTAAATATTGGCTAAATTAGATTATGACTAATAAGTGGTCAATCAGTTATTATTGGTATTTTCTTATAAAATGCATTAATGTTTTTCACATGTTATTGCACATGAAGGCACTATATAATTTTTTTGCAAAAGATAGGAGTAAATCTAAAATTCAATAAAATATCGAAATATTTGTATTAATGACATGGTTTTAAGTGTTGGAATTTTTTTAAAGCGTATGTTAGAAAGCACCTATGAGTATAAAAAAGGTGAACACCCGTTTCCCCCTCTTGGGGAAGGGGCGAACACATTTCTGTGTCCGTTTCACTGATTGATTTTTATTGACAGACAAGTAGTTGATCAGACTTCTGTGCCCTGCCCGACAGAAACAATCTATTGTTACCACGGGATTCTAACCCTGGACCTGGCTAGGCAAATCGTTTAACCATTTATCTACGAAGGCGGTCATTAGGTCTACTATGAGTATGAATTTATTAAATAATATCTAACAAAGAAACTGAAAAAACAATTACTTTATAAAGATGCGATAAAAAGTGATGGTGTACACGAGTAGTACACATTTAAATAAAACACTTTAACGGTTTAAAACGCGAAATATATTACTTAAAATTACGTATAAATTATTTAAGCCCACAATGTGACCCCGTGACCACAGCAAAGGATCCATACTTAGGGCCGTAGTTAAAATGATTATTTATACACATATATAAAAATATTTGCAAATAAGTTTAACTTACAGATTTCGCGTTTAAAACTGTTTAATTGCTTTATTTTAAGCACTTTTATTTATAATACATATTTTGAAGCACCAACATATTAAAGCATGAAAAAATGTTTACAATGTAGATGGTAAATAATATAGCTATTCTGGGCTTACTAAGAAAATTAAATGTCGTAATTGTCTTAGCGGTTACCCCTTTAGGGGATTAGACGGGATTACGAGGGACGCTGGGGACCATTCGGTAGTAACTTGTCACACTTTTAATATAATGGGAACAGAATTTAGACTGTAAAATGAATCTACCAGAATTGATGGATGGATATACAAAAGTGTCTTGCCTTCTTCTCTTGGTATCCTCATTGTTTTTCCAATATTCTTATTTTTAAGATTAAAGACAAACACTCTCTTTAATTGATAAGTCGTAGAAATATTGTAAGTTTTTATTTGACGCATAAATTTGACACTCGTAAATAGTCCTTTTGGCAGTATACTGTGTAATTATAATCAAAATATATATTAAACATTGTCAAGCTATGACAGAATTATCGAGTTCGTTAACATACATAAATATAATTCTAATTACAATTTAAATTTTAAAATGAATTGTAAAAGTTATTTAAATGCACATAATGGCACTATCCTCGTAAGTTTTGGACTCGGACAGGACTTGAACCAGCATCTTCAGCGTTCCGAGCAGTTGCTCTGACAAATAATGACTCAGTAGCTCAATTGCTTAGAGCGACAGCACGGATCGCTGACGATGCCGGTTCAAGTCCTGCCCCAAAAATATCGTTCATTTTTAGGAGTATCTTAAAACTTTATTTAACACGTGCCTTTTACATTACATTATCGCACAAGTACGTAATGAGATACATTACGATATTGAAATTGGTGTAATTACAATCACTTTACGAACAAACATCTTATAAAAAATATTAAAGTGTTCAATTCTAATTTATCCAAAGAATTACTAAATATATCGATTCTCACATTTTCTACTTCCAACTCTTCTCTAGTCTCTACTTTAACTCAATTCTTTAATCTAACATAGGTCTAAAACTCGAAACTCGGTAAAATACTCATAAAACAAACTTTTAACGACGTTTATGTAGATTTTAATTCAAAACTAAATGATTACAAGTTTTGTAATAATTTGACTCAAATATAAAAACCACTAGTCATTTTTTAGAAGATATTACAATTCTGCCTTGCCTACAAATCTTATATTTTCTCTCCTTAATCATACATAATGTCCACGCTACCGACTCCGATTAAGTAAATAATTTAAATATGAACGAAATATTACAATAATCCACATGTTAAACACTTAACAACTCGTGAAGCCCGTCCAATGCCTTTTAAAAATCTCTACATTTATGTAAATATACAAATCTGACTCTATCGGGTTTTGAATTACAAATACAAACAGATGTAATCCATTTGATCTTTTATGCATGCTCGTCACGTAAATCCACAGATAATATATCAATAATATCTTGAATTATTATTAATATGCTACTCCTGAACGTGATAAAATCTGATCTTATTTCTTACCGAGAAAATTGAATCGGCAGTTTTTGATAATGTAGCTTGATGAAGTGATAAATCGTTATGGTCTTGTATATCTCATACATTGTGTATGCTTATTTTATTACTGGAAAACCACTACCATGGCCAGCATCGTACGAGCACCTTATTAAATCATAGTCACTTAAAATAATAAGCGATAATTTTTAATTCGTAAACTTTTCTATTTTCAATACATATTTTTGTTTATTATTTAGACAAAATATTATATACTTACATACGTCTATAATGAATTAATAATAAAAAATAAAACATAATTTTTAAGTAATAAATAAAATAACATAATTTTAAAACTTTAATTACATAAAAATGTTACCTTCAAAACAAACTTTTATGTACTTAAAGTCTTTTTTTTTAATTCTTAGAATATTTGTGGTACGTAATTATAGATAATTAATTAATATTTTACTCGTATCGGTTAGATCTGTATTATTGTTCTATCGAATCAATCAATAGCAAAACATCTGTTACGTAAAAAACAGATATTGGCTAGCTGCCTATGTTCAACACGTAGCTTTTATCAAAACGATAGCTATGCATAAAAAATGCAAGGGCGGGGGCGCGGACGCCCACACGGCTGAAAGCTTCCAAATTCAAATCGCAAAAAAATACGCAACTGCGCGAGAGCAGGTATAAAAACAAGGCACGTGGTCGCGCAGCCACCAGTCGTAACCGACACGCAGAGTTGTTCGCACGTCGCTATCACTTGCGCACACTCATCGTAAATAAGATCGATCGTCAGAGTTCAAGGAACGTTTTCGTCATGAACACCAAGGTTTTGGACCCCACCGGAATCTACTGAAGAAGAACGATTGAGATTTATTCCTCTCAGTTCTCAAACAATTGGCAAAATGTTCGTTCTGGATCCGACCGGTGTTTACTGAAGCGAAGTTTTTGCGGAAGTTTCCTCGCTGAAAAATCAAAAAGAATTTTGAAAAATCAACATGTTCGTCCTTGACCCCACCGGCGTCTACTGAAGCGCGCTTCAACATTTTTGCTACGAGTCCACAAAAACATCGCAAAATGTTCGTGCTTGACCCTACGGGAGTGTACTGAAGTGTGAAGAATTTTGTGCTAGTGTCGAGAAATACGTAACAATGTTCATCCTAGATCCCACGGGAGTGTATTAAAGACTGAAGACTAAGTGTTGAGTGATAGAATGGCTCTGGACCCAACTAACGTTTACTAGGTTTAATTTTTTATTATTAGTCTTAATTTCCACCATGGCGATCAGTCTCGATCCCACTGGTGTCTACTAGATACAGTATTCTAGGGTTAGTTTTAATTTCCTTCATGTTTTCGCGTTGTCGAATCTAAAGTAGCAATGCCTGAGTTTTGTTGTACGCATCGACGACACAAATTGATTTCTGTGAGTCGAAATGAGGTTTCATCTAACAGAAAGAAGAGGAAATGTGATAGATGAGAAGTTATTTGCAGAATGTAATTATGTATATAGGGAACCAAAGACTGCGAAAGCCCATGAGTCTGCGTACAAGGCTTGGGGAAACAATTCAATTTGTTAAAGTTACCGTAGAATAAGTAATTATTTATTGACTAACATCTAGTGTAAGAAATTTTTGAAATGTTTTATTGAATTATTGTTTTCGACTGGTCTTGTTCATGGTCGTAGTTGAATTTATCTTTGCATTTATTTTGTACCCATTGCATTTCTTTTATTTCGCGAAGTTATACTCTTGTAAAGTAATAAGACTGTTAGTTGAATACTCTAGCTAATTGTTGCTAAATAGCATGTTAGAATAAATATTTAAAAAAATATAACATTTTTAATTTCTTCTCCCCTATCCCTGAAACAACAATCGAAATCATATTTACAATTTATTCAATCCAAATAAACTACCAAATAGTTTCTTAAAACAAATATTTATTTTTAAATAAAACTTTTAAAGAATTACACTAAATGATAAGATCAACTTTTTTTAATAAAGTTAAACAGTTTAATCCATTATTAACGTATTAAGATAGAACAAAGGTTTCTTGTGTTAGTTTTTCATAACATTGCATCAGACAGTTGCAAGAGGCATCAGGATCTGGCCATAGGCCCTCGACCAAATTGCAGAAAGTCATATATACAACATAATGTATAATATTCATATAATCAAAAGAACATATAGCTTAACTATGGCCTTATTAAGCAAAATTCTATTTTCATCAAAGTTGAGTGTGGCAAGCAATGGCGATCTGCCATCAATTAAATCTTTACATTTTGATCTCCAATTTTAACTGTAGCTCTTGTAGGTTTATTTTCAAATTTAGGCTATTACTAGTAAAATATATTACCCTATATTACCCTCTTGCAAAACAGACACATCAACAATACTCATTTGTTAACAGCTATAAAAATACTTTGAGTTTATATAATACAGATACAACTTAGGGCTTATGTATACCGGTTGTAAGATACATAGGTATAAAGAATTACGTATGAGCTAAACATGAAATGTCATATTTTAATAGACCCTATCAGTTCATAGTCAGCTTTACAAAAATGATTGTAATTATTCGTTCAATAAACGTTGCAAATTCAGCATTAATAGGTGAATTGGAAAAACGAAATAACGAATACATTCATGTTACTACGGCCCTTATCGTAGATTCTTATCATTCACGTATTTATCTTTGTTTCGTCACACATGTGTCTATTATTACACAGAATTTTTATGCCTCCTCATTATTTGTACTAGCAATTTTAATAAAATTTTATCTTCGTGTTACATAATTATCATATTATACTATTGGGTAGGTGACTATTTACACGTGTCCACAGTTTTAAATCCATCTTGAAGAACGCACAATTTCTTCAAGATATCTTATTGATAAGTCAATCAACCTTTGAACCAAATTTCTTTCAAATAGATAGGGTAAGTTGCACGTAATGTGCAAATAAAATTCTATTATTTATATAAATTAAGTAATTGTCCAGACCGACAAGAGAACTAAAGATTGGTGAGGAGAACATTGGGGGGAAAATATTATATGTGATAACGCAATTCTTCGATCTAATCTTGTAGTAGAACATAGCGATTCTCCTTATATATAATAAATTAATTAGACAATAATATTTATCATCAATAGACTATAAAATATCCAATTTTATTGAACAATTTGTTTACGTCTTATAACTACAAAAATCATTAAAAACTATACACACAATATTCAATTATAATGTTTTTTATTTGTGGTTTATTTTAATTGCTATTGCGTGTAGGTTTTTAATAAATACATATTCAACTCTTATCACTCAATCTGGATAGTGTGTTAATTAAGAAAAATAAGTTATACACCAAATAAGCAAAATATAAACATTTAACGCTCTAATATTTCGAAACCCTGTCAAATGTTAAAAAAATAAGTATTAATAATACACAATTATAATTAAAATGGCATTGTGTGTAGATAAGCTACGCAGGTAAAATAAAATTACGTATTCAACTAATTATACATAAATACAAATTATAAGAAAAACATGAAAACCTTACAACACTCATAGCTCGAAGCGGACATATTTTTGCACCTGTCATTTATAACGCGTTTTTGTTTGCCGGTGTCACTCCTCGGCAAAGGTATTTTTTCCGTTCCACGTCACGATGGATATTAAGGCTTACAAAAGTAATTTAGGATTTAAGGTCTATGTTTTTTTATTGAGATTCGAACCCAGATCTCAAGTTAAAAATCTTTTTTTTTAATATAAAGGAAGACAGACTAGCGTGAGGCTCACAGGATGGTAGGTGAATAAACCAGACATTATCCAAACAAGATGTTGACCTATTTTGGCATTGGATATTCGTAAAATAACTCTATACGTATAATATATAATAGTATAGTGTTTAGTCGGCTTTATCATGTCATTGCTTAAGAATTTTGATAAAACGTAGATATATAAGATATAATAGTTTTCTCATTCGCGTGAGTGAAAGGCCGGGAAACGTAGTTTCCTGGTGAAAACACGTTCGTTCTATAGGCTAAATGCACATTATACTACTGCATTCTTCACTTGAACGTGGAAGGGACTTCATCAAATATTTAAGTAGTTAGGTTTTTTTTTATGATAGAGGAGGACGGACAAACATAGATTCACTTGACGGTAGGCGATATACCTATAGCTTATAAATAAGATGCGTTATCGATCTATTTTGGCTTTGGGATATTCGGTTGTGTATGTCAATGTACAGACTGAAACCAAAATGCGTTTAAGCTTCACGGCTTATTCATCTGTGGTGGTTCGTGAGCCGGACGGAATTTTATATTCCCACCCTCCATTTAATACCCAGATTTTCCGACGAAGTCCAACATGTTCATTTCAGTAGCTATATTAGAGATTTCAAGATCGAAAATAAATTGAAAAAAATTTCGACTCGGGCGGGACTGGAATCGGCATCGTCAGCGTTCCGTGCTCGCTAGCTCAATTGGTAGAGCAACAGGTTCATCATTATATAGGTTTCCGAGGCGTACGCTGCAAAAACGGTTCATCATACCAAGAAGATATGTTTAAGAAATGATTTGAAGAATTCGGATGCCCAAAATAACGATTCTTGCGGACGAAGCGCTGACACAGCTAGTTTAATATAAATTCGTAAATAAGACGTACAAATGTCTATATAATAGTTAGTTGGTCTATTTACAAATTAATTAAGGGCGCTATTTCAAACCACAAAGATCCGTGTAATACCGGATTCTGATGTATCGAAAATTATCCACACGAAATTCACGTTTATATCCTTATACATAGTGCCTGTGTTTCTATGCAATTATTAATTTGAAAGTACATAGTTCACTTATACGTCGGATTTTCCTAGAAGGGATCGTGGTTGTGGCCTAGGATTTTTATGAAATATCTTTATTAATAGTTTGCGATGTATTCTGTATACATAAGCGATACCTATTGGTGATACAAGTGGCCCTAAATTAAATAAACAACTAGTTTAGAGTATAGAACCAAAATCTGAGTATATTTTCATATGAAACTATGTTTTATTTAAATGTGTACTACTCACGTAAACTATAGACAACACAGTTTTTCTTGTAACTGGGTCACATGTAATAAATTGCTTAGTAAAGTAACTTATTATCCTTCTTCTAGGCTTTGATGTAAATAAATCATGTCAACAGCGATTACCTGACACATAAAATTATCTATCTGCTGCTACTGCTGTACGTCAATCATTAGACGATTCCGCTAATTAGTATAAAATTAAAGCAAGTATTTCTGTTTTTAGCCTTTAGAGTTAATAAATTCACCGTATTAGACCAGAAATAGAAACACATAAACCAACTTTATGGATAATTCAATTTATTAATAAAATCGTGAGTAAATATTCTTTAATGAGCAAACTAGTGTTATGATATTATATTTTTATTCAATTAACCTCATCTCGGAAATGTTTGTTCGCTTCGTTAACTGAGATGTGTTTTTAATAAACATAATAAACTATCGAAGTAGATGCGACGACAATTGAAGTCATTTTTTTTTTGTTCTACGAAAATTACTTGTAATAGAAAGCTTGTTTGGCTTAAGACACGGAGATCAAATAAACAGAGAAGTTATAGTTTGAGAGCTATTTGCGATGCGATGCCATATCTATTTAGATGCAGTTTAGAAGAGAGGCTACCGTGGAAACTATTTCCTTTTTTATTCTATAGTTAAATAATTAAAGAACTGAATCAGTTATATAGTCATCTCGTTCAATAATAAACAACTTATGTAGAGCATAGAGAAAGAATAATTTTGTGTAATGCAGATTATAAAACTATAGATAATCTTTCTTCCTTTTTTAAGCATGGCATTTTGGTGAAATTACGACACTGTAACAATAAAAATCGAAAGGTTATCAATGAATGAAATGAAATGAAGTTGGTTACTTATTAATGAAGGCAAATACTTTGTTAGATTTTTCAAATGTGAATATCAGATATATTTTGCACACATAATTATTAGATACTTTACCTGTGTCACCAGGTAAATCATACGTTTTAG